TCAGAAATAAAATTTGCCTCTAGGAGGTCTTTTATAGCATTTTCAGCAGCCTCCTCTTTCTCGGGAGACTACCTACGTCTATGGTGTACTATTTCCCTAGAGGATGCACCAATGGTCGGTTGGTGGCAGGAGACCTCAGGGTCAAGACCGAGCATCTTTGCAGCACTCCACACGAACATGTCATCATTCTCCCTCAAGCAAGCCTTGATCTTCTTCCTCGCCAGGTCGGGGAGTCCAGTGTCGATCTTCACGCCTTTGTAAAGGTCTTCACTGAGGGGGATGAGCTCAAAGTCTCCATCCAAGATTGGTTGGAGGAGTCCCCTGCTCGCCGTTGGGTGCTTCATCTTGCTCGAAGCGCGTGTCCAATGAAATTGAGTCAACCTTTGGAGGAGCTCTATGTTCTTCTGTCTTGACAGGTTGTGGCTCTGGTCGCTGTGGCTCTGGTTGTGCCGTAGCATCTCTCTTGGCGGGTCGTGCTCCAGCGTTGACCTTACTCTGTCCCTTTGACGCTGTGTTGAAGCATCTTTCAGAAGCTGCTAGGTTGCCCTGGATGGTGGCGACGCATCCTCTTTTTGTGTAGAATTTCATCTTCATGTGGACGATGGAGGGAACAATGGTCAATTATGCCAGTGTCTGTCTCCCTAGTATAGAGTTGTAGAGAGACGGCAGTCGATGACCAGAAACCGCACCTTGACTTTCCTGGGTGGGCGATATCCTCGCCGAAGGTGACGAAGAGTTCCACATACCCCCAGGATTTAGAGGTCGAGCCGTTGAAACCCTGCAGGTCGGACCCCACGTATGGTGAAATATGGGTGTCGTCAAGCTGCAGGGTTCAGAAGAGTTGGCTATACATCACGCCAACGGAACTCCCTTTGTCGACCAAAATGCGGATGAACGTCAAAGTTAGCCATTCTTTCCCTAAACAAAAGAGGGATGCTTGAGTTAGGGGCCCCTCCAGGAAATTCTTCGAGGTAGAATGTGATCAGCTCTGATCTGCCCTTAACCCTCTTAAATGTCACCATTTGCGGGGGGGGGGGGGGGGGGGGGGGGGGGGGGGGGGGGGGGGGGGGGGGGGGGGGCGCGTCGACCAGTTCATCCAGTTTCCTCTTCGCGGAGTTTATGGTTATATCGTTGAACCCCCCGCCATTTATGACAAAGGAAAAAGCGACCCTTTCCCACCTACTGTGCATGGACAGAGGCTCTTCGATATCGCCGGGGGACGTAGAAGTCCTCTGGTCTTGTAACAGAGAATGTTGTCTGGATGGGACTGTCTCGTCTGATGGCCGGGCATTTTCCTCAATCTCCTTTGTGTCGGGGGCATCTCTACGAGGGGCGTCACTGCACCGATATTTCCCTAGTCTTCCCCCTTTTATGAGGGTCTCAATAGCATCTTTAAGATGGACACAGTCTTCGGTCAGGTGTCCATGACTTCGATGATATTGGCATTATTTTCTTCCCGATCAGTTTTGGACTTAGCAAGAGCAGAGAGAGGACGCTTGACGCTGTCGTCCTTGAAATCAGTACTAGCACACTCTGCTAAGATACACTCGCGGGAATCTGTCAGCAGAGTGTACTCAGTAAGTCTCCTCGTGGGCCCTCTTTGTTCGCAAGGATCCCGTGGTATATCATCCCTCCTCTTCTCACTCATTCATGGAGGAGGGCCGGAATCTTGTTGTCGCGGATTGCTGGTCGATCCACTATTCCTCGGGTCCCGGGCTCTATTGGCCGCTTCCCTCTTCTCATAGTTCATATAGGCCCTAGCCTTCTCGAGGAGCGCATCGAATGTCCGTGGTGGTTCAATGCCAACATCTTTTCTGAACTACGTGCCTGAGAGGAGTCCCCTCTCGAGAAAGTATATCTTCATATGATCAGTGTAGGGGACTTGGATGGCCTCGCGGTTGAATCGATCAATGAACTACTTGAGGGTCTCGTCGTTTCTTTGGATGATGGCCTTGAGGGCTTCCTCACTCTTCGGATGTCGACGTGAGGCAGTGAATGAACTGATGAACTGGTTTTTTAAATTCCTGCAGGAGGTAATTGACCCCGGGGCGAGGCTCTTATACCAGTCCATCACAACTTTTCTCAAAGTCGTGGGGAACAATCGGCATTTGATCGGTCCCCCGATGTTATGATAATGCAACATCTCCTCAAACCTGACGATATGGTCGATTAGATCGGCAATGCCGTTGTACTCCTTTAGATGGGGAGGTTTCTCCATACCCGGGAGAATGGGTGCTTCCATGATAGTTTGTGATAGGGGACCGCGGGGGTCGTCTTCGTCACTTCTGTCCGAAGATCGGGAAGGCGACCTATTGTGATGGCGGTTGTGATGACGGCCCTGGTCGCGCGGAGGATTCCTCGGGCAGTATGGTCGTTCGTTGTTTCCCCTGTTTCTATTTCCAGAGGGTCTTTTCTCTTCACGCGAGGGGACGTGATCACATCTCCCCGTATCTATGGGCTGGCCCCTCTCCAATGCGGGGCATCACCCGATTGGTCGAGGAGAGGGTCTTCTAGAGGCATCCTGTTTGCGTCTCCGCGGGGGAGATTTGGGATGGTCCTCTGTCTAACAAAGAGGAGGAGAATCAAGCCTCCTATGTCTTCTTGGGGCTCTCCGAGAATCTTCGAGCGTCCTTAATCTCTCCCCTTGCAAAAAGATCAAGTAGTTTGTTTGTTTTATTGTCGTGAGCAGCGCCCTGGTCGTGGCATCAACACCCACAGGAACTGAGACCTCCTGGAACACGGGCGACTGATAGTTCTGGAGAGGATGGCGCTCATCTTCAAGTCGCCGGGACAGTGATGACGAAGAGGCAGTCAACCCGTCTATGTACTCTGAGGGGTCGGGCATGCCCCCGACATGGCTGTTGTTGTTGCCTATGTTGTTGTCATTACCGGTGTTGAGGCTAGTGGAAGCAGCGTTGTTGATGTCAGTGTTGTGCTCGATGACGTTGTTGTTGACGTCGGAGAGATGAACATTCAGGTTGTTTTTGCTGTGTGATCAACCATGACAGTCAGAAAGAAGTGTGATTAGCTTTTGTCTTGGATGAGTGAAGACGGGGAAAAAGTGATTCCCACAGACGGCACCACTGATCATACCTGACCAGAATGGATCGTCACAACTTACATCGAGCAGAACTTGAGAGTGAGATGGGGGGGTACCTGCAAGATACTCTAATGCCAAAGTGAGATTCGGAATAAGCTAGCAAGTAAGAGAGTGAGAAATTGTTCAATACCTGACCCTCTCAGACAAGAGGGTATTTATAGCCCCCAGCGCTGTGCCAAGGTCCCTATTGTTGGGACATGTTGAAGCCCAATAACGTAAACTGCCAGGACTTACGTGTGTATGGAGTCCAGTAAGTGGACTCCCCCTGGTGAACTGCTCTGTGAGAATAGGGGTTGGACCCGTGATTTCCGGAGGGCAATTAAGATGACTTTGACGTGGGGGACATGGGCCACATTCTCCAACGGATATGTGGTGAGTTGCCAACGGTCCCTAACTTGAGCTGTCTGCTTTTGGCCCTTATACAAGAGCGTTGGATTATGCCTCCCAACCAGGGGACAAGTGCAGGCCCAGTCCAGATCAGTTGAAGATACCTGTGGTTATATAATACAATGGTTGAAGATACATAAATTGATAATTTTATTATAGTTTTCTATTTATCCCGCATTGGGTAGTTTCTTTTACAAAATTGTTGGCATATGAAGTTTGATTTTAGTGTCGGTCAGGCCCGCACTAAAAATATTTGACTTTAAAGTTTGACTATAGAGTCGACTTAGCCGACGCTAAGCGTAATGGTTGACTTTTTCTATGTTGACTGTAGAGTCGGTACATAGACATTAGGAGACATTGTTGACTTTTTTTGTTGACTTTACAATCGGTCTACGAACGTTAAATTTTTTTTTACCATGTTAACTTTAGTGTAGGCTCAGCTGACACTATCATAAATGTTAACTTTTCATTTTTTTTTTGAAAAAATGTAGGACCAGACATGTTAGTGTCCACTAATAACCTCAAATACTATGTAGTCGACGTTACCCAGTAGTTTCGTAGGTTTTATTCAAAGTTTAACACCGACATTAAATCGACGCTAAATGCATAATAGTTTCCGTTTTTCACCTTTAGCGTCTTCAAACGATCGACGCTAAAAATTGTTTTATTAAAAAAACATATTACCAAAGAAAATTAAAATTATATTATTACATTTCCAGTATGAATTTCATTTTTTTGAAAAAAAATATATATGTTATCAAAGAAAATAAAATTCAATTTTACATTATTTTTAAATACAAACCTCATTATTATTTTTAAGTAAAAGACACATTATATTTACTAACTTTTTTTGTTTATGAATTTTTTTATTTTTCTATTCTATCTTTTAATTTTAATTATTTATATAGAACATAATATTTATTTATGTTCTATATTAGTCTATACTATTATTATATTTTACAATTATTTTTCAAATTTTTCATAATTTATTTTAAAATTATCATTCAAGTTATTTGCATAAATAAATTTATAGAATTTTCTTTTTTTAGATTATATAGTAATGAAATTTTTGTCAAGAATTTTTGTCAAGAATTTGTATAAACTGAATTAAAATCATGTCGTTCGACTAATAATTCACTGATCTAATCAATAACTCATCGACTCAACAATTTGACCGAATTAATGATCCGTCGACGTTTTAATATATTGGAAAAACTAGCAAAAACATCAATACAACCCCCATCAACAGAAGGGCAAAAACAAACATCTTGACATCCGATAACAGAAGATCTTAGGAAGGAACACCCACAATCCCCTAAAAAAGAATACAACCACCAAAACCCTAGACCTTAATCTAGAAAGGCCTCAGCTACATATATTTACCACTCTATATACTATATAAGTAAATAGAAAACTAAAATATCCATAAAGCTGAACCTCAAGGGTGACAAGGTATACATAATAATGTAAAGAAACATAAGGAAGTAGACTCAACATGGGATAACATCTTTTGTTAAACTTTATCAAATCCATCACACTGTATAACGCACTCCAATCTAGTTTCTGCTTTTTCTTCTACAACCTGTTCTATTACACACTCCTTATTCTTCCCCCACAACACACTATACAGTCCAATCACTAGCAAAGCAGTGCCACCAATACTGCCATAATCATAAAATAATCATCATCAAACTCATGGATTATAAAAAAAGTAATTTCGATAATAAATTATGTAAAAAAATATTTTATATATAATTGCATTAATGATTTTTTAAGGATAAAATTAATATTAACCTTCCCCAGAAGAGTGTTTCTTTCCACCAAATTGCTGAGAAAATTGCTGTAAGTACAAGAGCTAGAGGGGTAAACATTGCAGTGAAAACTGGACCTTTCTTCTCTATAGTGCATAGTTGCAACCAATAACAAATACCAGTCACAATTACACCCTGCCAATAAGTAATTAATAAGTGTTACATCATTAAATATATTTCAATTTTAATTAATTAATAACTATAATTTTAGTTTAAATGTATTTTTGGTTCTTTTATTTTCACGTTTTTTAAATTTTAGTCCCTCCATTTTAAATGTTGATTTTTTAGTCCTTAAACTTCATCTCACCCAGAATTTCATTAGGCTCCCTATAATTTTGCATACGTGACGTCCTTATTAATGTCATGACAATGTTACAATAACTCAAATGTTAGATAAACACACATTATAAAAAGTTATTGTAACAGATTCCGTGTCATTAATACATGCGCCACCTATACAAAATTATAGGGGGTTGACAAAATTTTGAATAAGATAAAATTTAGAGACTAAAAAATTGACTTTTAAAATAGAGACGAAAACTTAAAAAATTAACTTTTAAAATAGAGACAAAAATTTAAAAAATTTGAAAAAATGAGACCAAGTCCATTTAAATTTATAATTTTTTATTCGAACAATTAATGAATTGTAATTATGCAAAAATAATTATTTTCTGGCTAATTTTTTTACATACATTTTTCAGTTTAAATAAATTATAATTATTACATCATTAAAAATATTTTAATTTGGGGTGGATGGAATATTATATTTATTTGATATTTATAAATTAATTACTTTTAATTCTTTTTTAATTTTAATTAAAATTTATATGGTTAGAAATTAAAATTATTTTGAAAATCACATATACGTAATACGATTCGCTATGATTGTATGATAATTGATTTTTTCTCATATTAATAGTAAATTAAAAAATTAAACTAATTAAAAAATTAATAAGATGAAATATTTTTCTATCACAAATTATCATTGCTAATTATATTTTTGAATTTATTTAATTGTAAATAAAATATATATATTTAAAAAAGGGAAAAATAACAATAACCTAATCATGTCATTTTTGTCAAGAAACATTATAATCTTATAGAATTGGTTGTATCTTTTCTAGGATTGATTGTAGCATTTGTGATATAACAATAATTAGAATTGTGGTCCATTAAGATCTTATATGTCAATGGTGTTCTCATACAATATGATATGATGTGAAATACAACCATATTTATAAGATATCCACTAACTATAAGGTCCATTTCAAAAAGACATATCACTAGGAAATTTGGGAGAAGTATGATTTGAAGAGTAGAATACTTCATTTTTTATGGCCTAATTGACATATCACTAAAAAATATCTATGTGGCATAACTTGCTTATGCACTTCAAGATTGCTAAAAAAAAAAAAAATTCAATAAGGAAACTTAGCTTTGATATTCTTTAGACAAGAAAAATATCATTTTGACCCTTTTCTTGTTGGCCATAAATTTAAAATTATTAACCTTTTAATAAATGTGATTTCCAATCAATATCACCTCATGAATGATAATTGAATTTTTTTAAATATATATTTATTATATAAATTAGATATTTTCTAAGTGCAATAGTAAAAATTACTCTTTTAAATTAGAGAAATTGAGATTTAACGATAAACATCTATTTCGAGAATTTTAATTTCATTGAAAATTTTGATCTTATTTTAAGTGGTTTAATAAAATCGTCTCAAGTTTTTGAAGATTTTACGTAAATTGTTTATACTTTAACCATATTAAAACAAATAAAAATTTATTTAATCACAATTTTGTGATAATATTTTATAAAATTTTATTTAATTACGATTTAACTGTGATAAATTTAAGTTTTATACAATAATTCGTTTCACACCCTTAAAAATAATCTACTGATTTAGGTTACTTTATTTTTATTTTTAAATTGAGTTACATATCTCTTTATACTATTTTTATAAATTATACTTTTTCTGTTGAAAAAGTATCATTAATTTTTCTTCGAACCTTTTTTGCCTTTTGCATCTCTAGGGAACATGGAAACATGGCAAAACCACGTGGACAATGACCAGACAGGAGAAACTCCCTCCATTTTCTTTTGTATTTGCAAGAATTATATTCTCCCTTTATTTATTTTTTAATAATTTTCAGTACTCTTAATTTTTTTATACATAATTGCATTATTGCAAAATCAAAACACTTAAAATAATTTTCATTAAGTACGAATTTTTAGAGTATTATTCAAGTTTGATTTTTGGTGAAAACAATGCTCGTGTTAAATTATAAAATTAGATTAGTCAATTTAATATATAGATAGATATTAATTAACTAAAAAAAACTATCATAATGAACTTACACAATAAGCCACAGAAAGAAGATGAATATCCCATCCTAACTTCCATGCAGAAGGATTCCTCTCCATTGCAATAGCTAATATTCCTGATTGTATAAAGCTAAAAAAGCATTGTATCAATGTGAGCCTAAATTTTGCTGGGTATTGCTTTACAATAAATCCCTGAAATCAAATAAGTACACAAAATTAGATGAATCAAAATGATTATTATAACAAATAGAATATATAATTATATTCAAGGTTCTAAATAATGGTCGTGGTCGCCTAAAAACTTTTGTAAATATCAGCATTGACATTTACATATTTCAATACCGTTTTATCACTAAATATAAATATGGAAAATACGACATCAACATTGACAAATTGTTATGGATAATATTTTAAAAAATAAATAAATTAAATATAATAACAAGTATCAGTAGAATACGTGACATGGATGCCCCGTTTTTGAGAGGTGTATTGGTGTCGGAGTTTAATATACCTGCAAAATAAGCCATAAGGACCAAAAAGTATTTGCTGAGAGCATCATAAGAGAGCCTTTAATATTATCTCCTTTGGAATGAAGTTTTGAAAATTCATGAGAATTATGATTCTGATTTTCTGAATGCCACTTTATGAAATCTAATGGTGGTCCTTTAACTACAGCAAATACTATAGCACCAGAAAGGCTTAGAACAGAGCCCAAAATCTTTGCCACTCCATGCTTGTATTTTATTGATATGGTTTCAACCCTGAAATTTCATGACATACTTTAACTAGAATTAATTTGAATTAATATTATTTTTATTCTATTCTTGATGGTTATTTTTCACTTAAAATTAATTTATACCCAATTAAAATTGCCATGATGAAAGTAATTGAAGGGATTGTGTTTGTGGAAGCTGCAGCAAATGTTGCAGAGGTATAGTTGATTGCAACATAATAAAGGTTTGAACTTGCTGTTAACCTGTTTTACATAGACACACATAAAAATAAGGTTAGAATATTGTGTCACTATCATAAAAAAAATGCTGAGAATAACCATCTAACTATGAATTATAGACACAGACATTAGATTCAACTCTGAAAATTTAAATAATTAATTAAACAAATTGAACATATTAATGTGTCATGTCACACATTTTGATTAAAAATACTAATGTTAGATAACTTTGTAACACACATTTTCTTTATTGATAAAAATTCATTAGTCCATCCAAATTTATATGAAATCCACATAATTTAGTGAGGGTTACATGAAATTCAAAGAATAAAAAAAAATGTGTGAGAAATTTTATCATGATGAAAAATAATTATAGTGCTATTTAATATTAAACAACTTTTTTAAAAAATAAAATTGAAAAAGGGAGATATTTTCATTTTTGTCTTTAAAAGTTTAAATAATATTTTTAACTTTTTCTAATAGTAAATTTAGACCTTTCAAATTAATCAAATTTAGAGTCAAGAAAGAGACATCCATACCCAACAAGAGAAACTAGAAACAATTTGCACAACAAGTTGCATGATAATGGAGCACCATGCTTACTGCAAAAATTCAAAATTAATATGCAAATAAATTTGTTAATTAAGCATACTCTTATAGTAATAATTTAATAATAAATAAAAACTAGAATATGAGTATAAAATAAGAATTATGAACCTGTCAAAATAAGCAAATGGAGACAAGGCAAGTGAAGCAAAGATTTGGCGATAAACAACAAACACATAAGGACTCATTCCTTTGGATATTGCTACTTTTGAAAGAAGAGCCATTCCTGCATATATGAATTGAATAAAGATCATTGAAACATAAGGTTTATGTTTTTCCAAGATTGCCATAAACCCTAGCAAACTAATCTTCATTTTTTGTGTGCTACTTCTTTACCAACATGAAATATATGATCTTAAAATAAAGGAAACTTAGGTGCAATATATAGAGATTTTGAACTCAATATATTTAGTATAGGCTTTATGCTTTAAGTTACTAGCTTTGTGCTTTATATATAGCTTAACATGAAAGTGGCATTGATTTGGCCTATCAAGTGGAAAAGTTGAATCACTAGGCACTTGTATAATTTTCAATTGAAAGGGTGTAGTGGGGAGTAATATGGGGCATGATATATTGTACTTTTGGATAACAAATGCAGTAACATTGTGACTGTATAAGAGGACAAAGTGTGATGTTATGTTTGTGAGAATGGTAAAATTAAGAGGAAACTTTTTGCAAGCACTATAACTCATTGTTCAAAGAAGCAATCATTTAGTTATCTTGGAAATATCAATAACATAGAGCAAAAATAATACACTAATTAAATTAAATTTTATCATTACTAGAAAAGTCGTTTTTAGTGACGGTAATCTCAACGAGTTAAATCTCACAAGTCAAAATTTCTCTTGACAAAAATTCTTCACTCAGATTATGTTGATTAGTTGGTCATTCTATTTAAATTTAAACGAGTGGAGGAGGTCACAGAGAAGTCTACACATTTTTGTTTCGAAGTCTTATCATTTGGAGAGAGTTAGTATGAACTTTATTTGGAGTGGTGATTCTTCCAAGAGTAAATATGTTACAATGGTCTGAAAAAACATTTGCGGACCAATCTCAGAAGGTGGTTTAAGCCTTAGATCGTTAGTCGCTCTAAAGGAGACCACTAATCTAAATTTTGGTTGGGATCTTTTCAATTTGGAGAAACCTTGGGAAATTCTTCTTCAACTTCGAGTTTGGAGGAAGAGCAAAATATATTTGCTTTATCCAGGAAACCAAATTATCAAGCTTTGACAATTCTTTAGCTTGGTCTTTTTGGGGTAGCAAAGAGGTGGAATGGACAACAAGCAATTTATTTGGAGCTTCGAGTGGGATGGTTATCCTGGGGGGAAAATTCCCTATTTGTAAATTTCAGTTTTGTAAGCCCTGGTTTTTGTGAGCAAATGTCATTTGGAAAGAAGAGTTGTACAAATTTGTCAACATTTATGCCCCTTGTAGTGGGGCGGCTAGAAGAATAGTGTGGAGAAGGTTAGTTGATAGGAAGAATAGTAGTGTGAATGAGGAATCGTGTCTCGGAAGCGACTTTAATGAAGTGTATTTTAGAGAAGAAAGATTAGGAGAGAGGGCTCATCATAGTAGAAGAGACATGAAGGAGTTTAGAGGCTTTATCGAGGATATGGGTTTGGTAGATATTCCTTGTGATAGAGGAATATTTACTTGGTTTAAAGATATTAGGAAGACTATGAGTAGACTTGATAGATTCTTGTTATCAAGTAAGTTGATTGACGAGTGGGAAGTGGTTGACCAAAGAGTGGGAAATAGAGATATTTCGGAACATAGCTCAATTTTGCTAAATTTCAGAAAGATTGATTGGGGTCCAAAACCTTTTAGATTCAACAATGCTTGGTTTAAACATGAAGGCTTTAAGTCATTTATAAAAGAAGAGTGAGAAAAGTTGAAGGCGGGGGTATATGAGATTTCGTTTTGTATGAGAAGCTAAAGAGTTTGGAGCATCGTATTAGAGTGTGGAACTGGGATGTGTTTGAGTGGATAAACTTAAAGGTGAGTGAGGAGGTGGAAAATTTTAATGTGTTGAATAACTTATTCGTGGATCATCACGAATGAGATATAGAGAAATTGGTCAAAGATAGGAGGAATATCACGAGTGAGGTGTGAAACTTGTTAAATATGAATGAAAGTATGCTTAGGTTGAAGTCTAGGCAACTTTAGTTGAAGGATAAAGATAAGAACACTCACTTTTTTTATAAATCCTTAAAGGAGAGGAATATAAGGAATGATATAACTTTATTGGAAGGGGGAAATGGGAGGGTGAAAGGTGTGGAGGAAATCAAGGTTACTGTTCAGATTCGTTTTGAACGGTTCTTCATAGAGGATAATACTCGAAGACCTATTCCAGAAGGTCTTGTTTTCAATAGTTTAAATGACCAAGATAGATTGTGGATTGAGAGGCCACTTTCGGAGGAGGAAGTGAAGGAAGCGGCGTGGTCTTGCGATCGTAACAAAAGTGTCATCCCAAATGGTTATTCTATTGAGTTTTTTAAAAAATATTTGGAGGATCTAAAGGAGGATTTTTTTAGTTTTGTCTCAGATTTTCATGGGAGAGCAAAGCTTACAGTGGCTTGTACTTCGTCTTTCCTTACTCTTTTCCTAAATACTATCAACCCGCAATCATTGACCGAGTATAAGCCTATATGCCTTATGGGAAGCTTATATAAGGTTCTTTCCAAACTTATGGCTACAAGATTAAAAAGTGTTATTGGGAAGTTTGTTTCTTTCAATCAATCAACCTTCGTCCCGGGTAGAAATATAGCGGATGGTGTCCTTGTGGTAAATGAAGTGTTGGATCTAGTTAAAAGAGAAAAAAGGAGTTATGTGGTTTTGAAAGTGGATTTCGAAAAAGCTTACGATTATGTTAGGTGGAACTTTTTGAGGCATATGTTACTTAAAATGGGGTTTGGTGAGAGGTAAATAAGATGGATGGAAGGGTGTGTTTTCACTAGTTATCTGTCCATAATTGTTAATGGAAACACAATGAATGATTTTAAGGTGGAGAGAGGTCTACGCCAAGGAGACCCGATATATTTGTTCTTGTTTGTGTTGGTCATGGAGGTTTTATCAGGTCTAATGAGGAAGGCGGTTGAGATAGGTGATTTTAGTGGATTCAAGATTAATGAAGAGGAGGAGGTGAACATGCTACAATTCACGGATGATATAATAATTTTGGCGGATGGAGGTAGTTAAAATATTTGGAGTATAAAAGCCATAGTTAGGGGTTTTGAAATGATACGGGTTTGAAGATAAACTTTCATAAAAGCAAGCTTTATGGAATAAATGTGGGAGAGTGGTTTTTAAATGCGGCATCAGATTTTCTCTCGTGAAAAGTAGATAAACTTCCTTTTAAAGTCATTGGTGTTAAACTGGGAGATAGTCCTAGGAAGTTATCAATGTGGAAGGACTTAATTAATCACTTGAAAAGTATGTTGGTCGTGTGGAAAGGTAAACACCTTTCTATTGCGGGTCATGTGGTGTTGATAAACTCGATATTAAATGCTATCCAAATTTACTCTTTATCTTTCTACAATGCGCCTTCCAAAGTTTTAAGCGAGATCCGAAGTATTCAAAGCAACTTCTTATGGAGCGGTTGTGAGAATAAAATGACGATTCATTGGGCGTGTTGGGATATTGTTTACAAACCTTGTGAAAAAGAAGGCCTTGGAGTAAAAAATATGGAGATCCTAAACATGGCGTTATTGAATAAATGGAACTAGCAGATTTTGAAGGAGGAAAATGCGGTTTGGAGTAGTATCCTAAGATGTAGATATGGGAATCCGGCGATTAAATTTCTCATTGATGATAAAAGTGTGTTGAGCAACCGAGATTCCATTTGGTGGAGAGATATTTTGTCATCCGATAATTCTGTCAATTTGTTAGTTAACCATTTTACAAGGGCTGTCAAAATGTTGGGAACATAATGGGAACACCATTTTGGTACTCCTTTTGGCATGGTGTCCAACCGTTGAAGGATTCTTTTCCTGAAATTTTTGCTCATGTTGGAACCTTATAGCTCTTATTGTTAATAATAATAGTATTCTGCTCTGCATCTGGCAGGAATTTGCGAATATGGTTTAAGAATTGGAGCTGGATGAAAATGCGATGGACACATTTTATTGGAGGAAAGAAACTGATGGGAAGTTCACGGTTAGGTCTTGTTTCGAGCTGTTTAGCGAGAATTGTTCTATTTCTCCTCTTCCTACGAAAGTGGTGAATGATATTAATCACTTATGGAAGGTTTAAGTCTCGTCAAAAGTGCAAATATTCGATTGGAGAATTCTTCTTAATAGGATTCAGACTATGGACTAATTGTTTAAGAGGAGAATTTTGAGGGAAAGTAGAGACTTAACTCGTGTGTTTTGTTTGTTGGAAGAGGAAAATTTAGAGCATCTTTTAGGGCTTTGTTCATACGTGGGAAGAATTTGGAAGAAGGTTTATGAGTGGACTGGATCCATTGAGGAGTTAACCTTGGGGGAGTTTATAGTTTTTTTTGCCTTTTGTGATAAGGTGAAAAGTATCACTAAAAGGACTATTGTTGCGGTTATTTGGCTAACAACGGCGTGGAGTATTTGGTTAAAGAGTAATGCCATCATCTTTAAAGGTGAGATATTTAGCTTTGAATAGTGTATGTCGGAGATATTCCTACATGCGTGGAAGTGGTTATGTTCCTTTTGTAATCCTATTAACTTAGGAAACTTTTATGTTTGGAATACCTTACCTCTCCTTTGTTTTAGGATGTAGGGGTTTTCCGGTTTGTATTCGGATGGAGTATCCCTTATACCCCCTTTAGTGAATTTATCACCTATTAAAAAAATTAAGCATCACATTTTCTCCTCGATTTGGTCTAGTGTAAAGAATGAGACTCTATTGATTTTTGAGAATTCTTCTGGGATCCTCGAAAATGGCGAATCGATTAGATTTTGGTATGATAATTGGTGTGCTTCCCTTTGATCTTGGACATGGGGAACCATGATATTATTGACAACCTCCATGTCAGCTCTTTCATCGTTTATCATAAATGGGATTTCTGGAGCAGTAGTCATGATATCCTTGATTCTCTGCAAGTTAGAATATGTAATTGCCACATTTCTTTTCATCTTCGTCTTGATAAAAGAATTTGGAATCATTCTCCTTCGAGCGAGCTCACACTAAAATTTGCTTATGATTTTAAAAGAAATTCGGGTGTATATAATGCTTGGTGGCGTTGGATTTGGTCGAAATCCATTCTGCTCTCAAAATCATTTATGGTTTGGAGACTGTTACTCAATAAGCTTTTGACTGATGACCAATTAAAGAGAATAATTTT